CAAAAGGTTTTGGATACATATACCTGATTTTTCAAAAGTATTTGAATTCCCAGAAGTAACAACAATATGTAAAGTTACTCTAAAGTTGTTGATTTGATTCCGAATGTGGGGTTAAAACTAAGCGAAAACATAAAATTCCACAGGTTGATTGCTTTCTGGGCAATAAAGTTATTCCTATTATCGGTTACGGTTTTTTAAGAATACCTTTTCTTCTAGACGTCTTCTTCATGGTTTGCATGATAAATTCTGCGATAGGTGATGTGGTAAAGAAAAAGTGAACAATTTTCTCTATCTGGATATCTGTATTTCATCCAGCGGACGCACCAAGGACGCATGCAGAAGGCTCGATTGGCATTTGCCAAATTAAGACATCTGGGTGCCGTCGCGAGACCCGGCTGTCGAGTGTATGCTGCGTACATCGTATTGCCCAAGTCTGGTGCGGAAGCCGAACAAGCACAGCGGAGGTTGAGTGCAGAGTTTTAAGTGGTAGCGGTCGACTACTAAAGCAAGTGGTCACATTTCATAGGTTGCGCTGATTAAGCGTGTGTTACGCATGCCGAGGCCGGTAGTGGGCAAACAAAAGCTAGGGTGGTCAAACTCAGACCTGGCATGAGGGTGTGAAAACCCTGATCATGAGACTTGCTCACATAAAGCTTCTTAGATGGGAACATTTAGATCAACACAATCGATGGTGATAGGGCTGTGTCATAAACAGTGTCCTTGCAACCTTAGTTTGCATGAGTTCTCTATTTTCACCCTGATAGTGATTTTATATTACAACCTTCCACTCACTCCTTTATCCAAATGGGCGGCCACGGAACAGCAATCAAAACCACCGCTTTAAAGTGCATGGTTAATTTTTGGGAAAACTGAAAACTGGGTGATGTAGTAAAACACTTCTTGTCAACGTAAATAATAACAACACAGTACTAATGGTTAACAAATGAGCTGTGTGTTATTCTATTATTTATATTTATTTAACACCAAGCTTTACAGATACGGAGCCAAAATAACCATGGGTGAACGAAAATTATAGGTACAAAAGGCATGAACGTTGTATACGCAGTCGCAACTGGCTTCAGCAAGGTAACACAAGTCCTGATTAAATACAGGCCACAAACACAAGACATGTGAGGACTATAAACTTTCCAACGCCAGGATAACTGAAACATACATTCTGCACACATAGTTATATACATTCTGAACCCTTGCGCGTAAAATAATTGTGCCAAAGGTTACCGTTAAAAGTCATCAATTCAAAATGTTTACCAAATTCCGGAAATTGACGCTTGACATGTGTTTGTTAACCTTGGCGGAGACAGGAGATGATAGCATCTTGTTCCCGCAAACCAGTTGAGTTCAAGTGACCAAACGATTGATCGGAGAAAGATAACGAGGAGAATGTGTGCAGTAATGAACTGCGGAATAAACAGAAGTAACGTTTATGGAACAATGCAAACAAGAATTTTGACTTTGATTGCGAATCAAACAAATTACATCTTGCGTTGGGAAATCATGAATAGATAGATCTAAAACAGTACTATAAAGAACCGACTAGGGCAGAAAGTTATTCTAACAAATCAAGTGACAGCACATTGGAGAATAAAGGAAAACAATTAGAATCGGCAAAGTTTACAGTGCTCAACAAAATGACCTATACAAGAAAATATAGATGATGCAGGAGTATACCTATCAGGGTAGATAGAAACATTACGGGAAAGAAGTCATTCAAGCAAAACACATAAATTTTCATCTTCCCAGTATTTGTTTGTTAGTGAGCGGCTGGTTGTACAACTGGTATTAAGCCTGTGAACTGATAATTGGGTCCCATACGATCAATTGACGCAAAGTGGATCGCTGTTAATGAACAATGACTCAATGATTAAACGTTCTCTATATGACCTGAAACCTTGTTTCAGAATAATCGGTTTTTCGAAGTCAATAGAGTGTCCCTCGGAAATGGAATGCAGAGCAATAGCTGAGTCCCTCAAGGGTCCTAAGCTCAGATGCATCTTTTGGAGGGTGTTTGGATTTCCTGTCATGTTCGGATACCCGCGTCTTTAGTTGTCGACTTGTTTGACCAGTGTGCGTGGCTGTACACTGTTTACATCTTATCTTGTAAATAAGATTCGATTGATCAGCTTTTGGTCGTCTGTCCTTAAGTCACATCAGAAGTGAACGAAGGGTGTTGGTTGCCCGAAAAGCGACCCGTATATTGAACCGCTTCAGTGTTCGTTGGATGTCTTCTGACGTATTGCGGCGGTAAGGTATGACACTAGTTGCGATCCAATCGGTCTTTTGATCCCTGGTTCTATAGATCTTTTAATACCTTTTTGAATACTTTGTAGAAAATTTGGTGGGTATTCGTTATCCACCAACTCTCTTGTGACTAGTTGAACCTCTTTGCGTTTGTCCTTTCTGTTGGAAACGAACTGGTTTGCTCTGGTTAGGAGGGTGGTCACTACATTGGCTTTCATATTTATGGGGTGTTCAGAGGAGTAGGATAAATACCTGCTAGTGTGGGTTGGCTTTCTGTGCACAGATATCGATAAGTTATCCAAATCACTGAAAGTTACTTGACAGTCTAAGAAGTTGATGCTTTNATGCTTTTTTTCTAGCTTTTCTATGGTAAACTTAATGTTTTCGTGAAAGTGGTTGATGAATTGAGTGAAAGGTTCCACAAAGTCCTTCTTGATCACTACAAAGATATCATCTACGTATCTTGGTGGTATTGGAGTAGATCTAAGTGTTTCCTCTTCAAGGTTTTCCATAAAAATGTTTGCTACAATTGATGAGATTGGAGAACCCATTGCCATTCCATCGGTTTGTTGGTACAGAGCTCCGTCATACGTGAAAAGGATGGATTTCAGACATATGGAAATCGCCCTGGTGATGTCTTCTACCTCAAGTGTGGTTCTATCGCACAAAGAATTGTCATTAGAGAGTGGCTTTTTAACGAGTGCTAGAGATTCTTCAATGAGAACATGGGTAAAAAGAGAAACAACGTCGTAACTTATAAGACATTCAGACTGATCAATTTTAATGTCTATGTTTATGGATAAAATGATTCGAGTTTTTAATGTAATGTTTATCACATTTTTTGAGTGGATGTAGAATGTTTGTAAGATGTTTTAAGAGGGCATAGTTCGGAGTTCGGAACAGCTGCTTTGTGAATTTTGGGCAAGCCATAAAATCTCGAAGCACAGTTTGTTTTAGGATTCAACTGAAGCCATATTGACTTACCCAGCTTCGGTTTCAAATCTGGAAGTAACTTCGTATATCATATTGTTTAATGTTCGCTGGTTAATGGACTTGAAAAAGGCCTTCCAAGAGGGTTGAAACGTCGTCAACCGAAAATTGTTGTTTTTTGGTTTTCTCTTGTTGTGGCTGATCCAAACATTCCTATACGGATCTAATGCTATCAGCACGACGCCCAATTCTTTGAAAGACATCTGCTGCAATTTTGGATGTGACACCGTTTTAAATTTTAATATCAAAATGACTAAGGATATATTTTCAGTAATAAAGAGCGAAATGTTCCTGGTTTTAGTATACATCCATCATAGTAACTGCCAAGGTATGTTGGTGTCGAAATGAACTTTCAAACAAAGGATTTGGAAAGTGCATTTTTTATGTATCATTTTGGTGGGATCGATATCAGCTGACTGTTAATCAGGTCACCGCCAGGCTCATATTCTTCAATATATCCGTAAGTCTCGTTTCTTCTGTTGGTACAAACGTTTGGTTACTTTTCTTACATCCACGGATTGCCTAGACCACAGAAGAACTAGTAATAAAGTTATGTCATCCATAAAGAAATACATCGCTATCCGTGTTTCTTTTGTCGATTCTTCAAATTTCTTGTGAAATGCATTAAATTCTATTTCGCTCACGTCTGAGGTCAGATTGTCAGAGAGTGCCGAACAAATCACGGTGCAATGATTTTTATAGAAAGGAAAACGTTCCATAATCTGTTTGGGCGGAATACAGTCAGGTTGCTCAGGCCAAGGCAGGTTAAATTTCTTAGGCACTTCACAACCGGGGCCTAAGCCTGACCCGCGAGGCAGAGGGATGGTGTGGGAAAGCTGCAGTCCTTTGGGGTGGGAGGGGAGGGTGTCCAGTTCATTGGATGATATGCCCTTTGGACGGGGTCAAACGTCCATGGTGCTCAATATACCTCGATGACCGATTTAACCGGGCTATCACTGCCACAGCCAGAAAGGTGAGTGTGTGTGTGGTTCGTACGCCTACTGTTGGCCTTTTCGAGTCCGGGTTTTAGCCAACTCCTGTAGGTGAACTGCCAGTGGTTCACCAACCCGGATGTTGGCTTTTCGTCCTCTAACCTCGGTGGGAGAAGACCTCTGCCAGGGGATCGCAGCGAGGGCTTCCTCAGCAGAGGCTATTTGAGACGCTTGGTCGCATGGGAATACTTCGCGAGGTGCAAGGGAAGAGTGACCAGCCACAACCCAAGACACCTACTGCCGACCAAACTGAGGCTTTTGGAGGCAATGTAATAAATAGCTGAAAATTAACCCATCCGGTGCGTTTTGTGAAGACAGGAACTACTAGGTTCTGTGAGACACGCTTAAGTTAATTCCCTCAACTATCAATCTGTAGAAATTCAGTCCTTAATGCAATCAATCACTCTAATTGTTTACAACAGAAATCCACCGACATACTGTCTTATCTGCTTTTTTATTCATCTATTTCTAAGCTCCTCAAATGGTGACATATAAAGAGCAACGAGCTGATAATGTTAGTAATAAAGCAAAGATTTAGATGAGAATGAATGCTCTTTAGTTAGCATGGTGTAATTTATTTAGGCGTTCTGGATCAGTTTGCTTAGAGCTAAAATTTGCATTCAATCATTTACGTTAGTCGAGCATTACTTATCACTTCATCTGTTTTTATCCACACCCGCAGCCATTCGCATCCTCTCACAAAATGACACAAATAAACGTACATTGGTTCAGAAGGGAATTCTGCCTTGTTTGAAGCAAATGCTCGATAGTGGCAAGGCAGACGAAGAAGAGGAGGCGTTACTCACTCTGTGGACGTTGAGTTTTGATCAGGAAAATAGGATTCGTATTGAACAAGAGTTTGGTCCACTTTTGGAAACGGTACAGCACAAATTGTATTCCACCTCGCAAGCAGTCGGTCTAAACGATAAATCAGAATGCAGTTCCAATGAACCTGTCACTCAAAATGTAGCCGCTGATTTCGTGACATCAGAGTTGGAACAGGAAGACGATCTCGAAGAGTTGATGAACCGTCGAAAGCGGCAGACCACTGCGGCAATGAGAGCATTAAAGGGATTAATTTGGCAACTCGGCTCATCAGGTATGTTACCATTGATTTCCTATCAGCTTATATAACCTTATCTGTGGAATTTAATCGATTATCTTTTGTTATTCATTTTATAATGTTCCAGAAACTCATTTTGAATGTGATTGATTAGTTGTTGAGATATCGTTTTCAGCACTCTTGGTTTGGCAATCATTTGTTTCATTCGGTTCACCTTTAGATACCCCTATTATGCCCATTTTCCGTAGCCCAGTTCACTGGTGAACAGTAGTAAGCGAATTTTTGTTTGTCTTACATGGTCCTCCTTGGGTGACGAAACTTCGTTTTCTATGTTCTACCAATTGCTGATAGAGTTATTACTTTATGATGTGATTATTATGTTTCCTGCGTGGTTCGGTTCACTGTTCATTTATAATGAGTTATCCAAAAATTACCGGGCATCGAGGTGGTTTGATTAGACTTAGGGTCTTCTATTCATCGAAATCTATATATGTAGCTTTCTAGATCTTCATATGCTAAAACATGACCCTAATCGTCCATAGGTGTGCAAGAATCATTGTTGACTGGGTTACTGCAATTGAATTCATATACTCGTTTGAGTAGGCCACCAGATTTATGTTATGGCTACCGTGCATTCTTTCCCCATAGGCAAAATGTTCATGATGAAATAATTCAAAAGTGCTCGTGTTCACCTTGATACTGCACTGATTGAATGACGTAATAAACCAGCGCGTATAGCACTGAAATCAGATACATGTATTTGTGGTAAAAATGGCTGAAAAGAAAAGCTCCTTATGTTGGCATAACGTGTACATGAAGTTTTCTTAGACACGCTTATTAGTGGTACGCTCGCAGTAACGGTTTTCATTGCGTCAGGCACACGACTCCACTGACGTTTGCAGTCTGAAGCATTCCGATAATCGGGTTTGTTGGTGAATGCTTTTGTATGGAAATCGATGGGATAAGTTTGGTTGCTTAAATACATCTATGATCAGAGTGCGAAAGAGAGGCAGTTAAACACAAGACACTGAAGGGCAACCGCTCCGGGACTATGGGCTTATACGGATACCACTGGATTTAAGCTATTTGAACTTGCCTCAAAGATATGTTAAAGGGCAGGTTTTCCCCGTGAACAGACAGAAATGACTTTCGGAAAGTATATTCGGTTTGAAATCGGCACACAGCTTAGGACGAATACCCTAAAGTTGTGACGGAAAAAACATATGAAGTTTGCCAACCAAGTAATTAGTTGGTTATACATATATCTTTACATGGGATCATGTTTGCCAGATATTTTAAATTGTTCTACCAAGTATTTTTTAAAAAATATATATAATCTTTGCCAGCCCTTTCTGTTCTATTAGACCTTTGAGTCTTTAATTACATTTCACGCTAGTAAAAGGAACATATCATAATATAGTTATCCTTAAACCAAGTACAGCACTGTTTTGTGGGTCACATAACAGCTGAGATCAACGGGACGTATTTTCTCTTCTGACCTGTAAAAGAGTGCTGCATTCAGTATTCACTAGTAATTATCAACAGCACTACGGCATGCCAACCAAATACAGCGATAAAATCAATGAATCGGATTCTGCACAGTCCAATGGGCATACAAAATTGTCAGAGATTACGGAACCTTGCCGCAATGTTTTAATGGCTTCCTAATGAATACAAATTAGAAATTTTTACTGGCGACAAAACGAAATAAGTTCTAACACTCACGTTAACATTTTCGGAAACAAAATTTGATCGCATGGGGATGGCAAGAAACTGTCTGTCACACGCGGGTTATTTTCCTTACCATTTGTCTGTCACCTACGCCATTGGCCTAATCCGTCTGAACGTATCCCAAACGGCCTGAATGCTTTTGACCAATCAGAACACACGTTCAGATTGGGCTGTCTCAGATTACTAATCCCCCAGCCAAATCAGGCGAACGCATCGGCCAAATATGTAACTGTTCGGTCATTTATCGGGACCAAAATGTAAGAGCCAGATTTGGACGTTGACTCACAAGCGTGCTCTCAATTCGAGCTGCATATAAAGTGCAATGTTCCTATGCAGTAGCTTTCAGCATCACATTTACAGTGTGAAATGCCCGTCGGAATGTGTTATTCATTCACTGGTTCTAAGTGCACTGCGAAGACAGCTCTGTACTTTTACTGTTTAATGCTACGATGTGTCACGTATGGGATGAATTTGATTCGGACACTGTTTGTTCCGGTTAAATCGGTTCCGGACAGACGGACTTACACGGCTCCACTCACTTCTGTTCGTGTTCCCTCGGATCATACAGAAGCGAAACAGTCACGTGAACAGAAAGCTGATTCAACTGAATTGACGGGAAAGCACGTGATGATCAGCTATAATCATCAACACAAACACATTGCTTCAGAGATCGCTCAACGGTTGCGGCAGAAGGATTTCAAGGTAAGTCATCTTCGACGTATTTATGGGTGTTATGGCAGTTGACCAGTTGTTTCCACTAGCGTTCATATAAACAAACGAACGAGGGTTAGTTAAAAAAGCGAGCTTTCCCTCTCAACCATTATCAGTCAGCTTGCATGGAAACCCGTGTTCCTTTAGTGATAAATGTGACAGCTGAATTATGCAGAATGTATTGAATAGATAGAGGAGATAATGGAGCCGAAAAGTTTTAGATGACGTAGATCGTGGTGCATGGAATTTATCAAATTTTTGAAAATAAAAGATCGTTTATCGGCTCACTTCAAAACCGCTTAGGTCTGAGGGATACTGCTACTTGTTCAGAATCATATTTTATCACATAAAAGCTTAAATGAATGAAATAAACTACAACTTCTCAAAAAAATTTCCACATCCTAAGCTGCCATCCAGAAAAACTAGTTCTCTGAACATTATTTTCGGAATAAGATTACGGAGGAACACATGTGAACTTCATGTATGCTGTGCTTTTCCAAACAGCGTTTTTGAACATGTGGGGTTTGCTTCAAAGAATTGAATGGAAAATCCTCAGACATGATTTGTAAAATGTATCGAGGATGAGGATATTGCATCATCACACTTACCTACGATTGTCTACCGCACGTGAACGGTACACGCGTGAGAACCAGGCTGGCCTTAGACCTGGTCGAGGTTGTATCGACCACATCTTCACTCTTCGCTAAACTCTGGAGCACTGACATTCTTTTCGTAGACACACTGTCTCTGTCTTTCTCGATCTGAAAGCGGCTTTTGACTCAATCGACCGCTCTAAACTCTAGAGCTGCCTTACTCTGAAAGGTGTGCCCGAGAAGTTACTTTCAATATTACAGTCCCTTTATACTAATAACCGAAGCCGAGTCCGAGCCTACGGCAATTCTTCGCCCGAGTTCACCACGGAGTCACAAAGGTCGCGCTAGGCTCCCTGGATGGGGACTTCGGGTTGATCGTACCCGATCGTTAGAGGCACTGAGTGATTTGGCTGAGTGTCGTAAACAGTGGCGTTCGTGTATCTTGTCAATTTCTCTGCAACATTAGTCCACTGAAGTTTTTAGTTGTCTCTTTGATCCTACTCTCAACCTTTCCTGTCTTCCTCCAAATGCTCATCCAAATGGGAAGCCAAAAGATAGCAACCAAAACCGGTGCACGATAGTGCATGGTTAATGGTTGTACGAACTGAACTGAAATGAACTGACATATGACTAAAAAAGTTAGACTAAGGCTAAACTGTCAACAAAAACGAACAAACATGATCAAAAGAGATAGGGATTAATCCGCAAGTGGAGGTAACGTGAATAGTTATTCCAGCCCTTTGTTCAGATTCGGATTTGGACTGTGAGTGGTTTGGATCTCGGCATACCTTAGCGAATTGATCTAGATCGACAGGGTTGCTGTTCGTATCCGAAGCTGCTTCTTTAATTTTGGTTGTTTTACGCACTGAAAAATAACAATGTCGGAATTATGCGCTTTTAAAGCCTTTTGGACAAGTTATGTATTTTGACGTGGCGTAGGTAAACGCGAAGACAGTTCACTATCACATCATGGGGGTCTTATTCTGTCTCAGCATCTTGACTTATTTCCTGATGTGTCAATAATATGATTAACTTCACCAAAGTTACGATGAAATTGATAACAAAGTTGCAAACTAGACGGATGACAACTAATTCCTTTACTCAAACTTCTAGTTTAGTAATTGCAAATTTTTTCTACATATTCCATCGGTAACGGTTGGGGAATTTAGTATATAGATAATATACAAACTGAGATCGGGGAGAGGAGTAATAGTATTTAGGCGGTTTGGATCGCTGTCATTGGTTAATTTCAGCTCTAAGGCTAAAGGATGTCAGTTCCTCCCTAGTACCTAACTTTGGTGACGAGTAGATTTATCTTTGTTCGGTTAAATGCTACATCTGTGCTTTTCCTTTGTGGTCTTATGTGGTTCGTCATTCCAAGCTCCAATATACCGCCTGTCATGAGGGAAGTTTGAGTTGATTCTCCTGAGAACGGTATTTCCTCTTTGTTTTAACCATTGCAAAATGATATGTAATCAAAATCAAGGGTAACTAGACATTTTATGACTCTCACGCCAGACTGTTGTACATCATCCGAAGTCACAAATCATTAAAGTAAATAACTTGAGATTGCATGAGTTGTCTTACATCAGACCTCGTGTGGAAAACGTATCGTGCTGTTACATGTCATTCTTTATTCACAGGTATGGATTGATTCGGACTGCATGAGGTCCGTCGACGACCTGATGGACGGAATGGCTATGGCAGTGGAAAACGCATTCGTCGTCCTCATTCTATTCTCCAAAGCTTACCAGGACAGTCCAAACACACGCAGTGGTTAGTTGAACAATAGCTGCCTATCTCTTGCACAATACGATTTGTAACTCATTTTCAAACTTGGGGCTGTTACATGTTTCACTGTGATTTCATAAGAAATTTATGACACGAACACGTCACTGGTAATTCCACATGCACTGCGATCTGCATAATATTTATCAGTTGTCAATGTTTTTCATTCAATCAATTAAATTTATCTTTGCTTTCTCAGTAATAAAACGGTGGTAGATAACCGAGCCGAATCGTCTTACTGGCTATCTTGTTTGTTCCCAAAATGTACCCTGTTCATTGATAACAGATTGTACTAGCTCATGAAATTTCTGTTCTGTAAAATAAATGGTGAAAGTTTAGTCCCTGTGTATAAGAAAACGAAAAAGGTTTATCCTCCTTATGGAGAACTTAAACAAATCCATGTAGTACCCCTGCGAATGCACGGAAAATAGGGTCTATGTTTAGCTTTCCTGTGTACATATATCTCACTCCTTCCGAATTCTATCATAATCGATTCTCAACTGCGAGATGAATTTGGAAACCACACTTGTGCAACTCGAACTAGGAGAAAAAAATGTTTTCTAATGCTCTTTACCGTCACACAACATATTGAAAGTTTAATTTCTGGACCTTGCTGCATTTCTGCATTTCTATCAAAAATGGGTTAGACATTTAACGTAATAAATGTTCTAGGACATCATGCGATGAAAATGTTCGTGAGAAGCGACAAACAGCATTGGATAGCTGTTTCGTCCTGTTTGGGACTCGCCAGCAGTGAGTACTTTTTGTGTCCCTGTAAAGACATCAATTGCTAAGCTCGTCGATTTTGTAAAAGCGCTTTATAACCCTGTAAATTGGTTTTAAACACTACACAAGCAGGCTTTCAAACGATAGTGTGTCATAAATTATAAAGGTTCTTATTTTATCCTATGCAAATTCATATAGCTCAAGGTAAGCGCATTGGTTTTTGTTTGTGGGTCTTGTTCTAATCAAGGATGAGACAACTATCCAGAACTCTTGACTGGCCATTACTCAAATTTATTACCGATGTCACTGTGAGTGGGAGGCATACAGATGCGGTAGAGAGAAGGAATTTTTCAACAGTGGGCTACTATAAGATCACAGTATGGACAATATCTGAGTTTCACCATTCATAATTGACTTCGATCATCATGGTTGCTCATGACGCAATCATTCTTCCGCCATGAGATCACAAGCGTTTGAAATAAATCGCTTTGTATACATGGATACGACTGCAGCAAAGGAGAGCTAAAAAGCTTGACTAGTGTTTAAGTCTCAAAAACAGTTGATCTTTAATTTATGTTTGATTTCAGTTCTTAAAACCAACAAATATGCAATCATTTGCTTCAGTTGCGGTTGCTCGGTGAAAAAAGGTTGGAAAGATGTCACTGAGCGAAATCTAATAAATGGTGTAAGGTAAATATATCACTATATGGAGTGTGTTTTGGTAACATAAAAGCACTACCTTTATTGAATATACCGTTTTTTACAAGTTGTGGAAAAAATCGGATTTAAGACGACCGCTGTGCATGCACCAGAAACAGGAGGTGAAATCCTTCATTCACACTACTACTCACAAGTAGCTACGCGCTGAACGTGAAAAT